TATATGTTCAAAGGATAATAGTACTGGTTGGAATATAACCCATAATCCCAATTGTGATATTAAACAATTCCAATGTCGATAATAGTAAATTGTTAATATTAAGTAATATATATTTTTTTTTGTTAAAGAACCTTGAACGTTAAAATTACGAGTAGCTTGAAATCAGTGATTTTTATAAGAAAATAAATCAAAAAATCAGTATCTCAAACAAGGAGCCTTCCATATTTATTTATTTTTTTTTTATAAAAAGAATGACAATTTTGGTAACGATTAAACATATTTCGAAAATGGACATGATGACGTCATTAGGTTATATTAACAGTTTCAATCCTTATTATTATTATTATTATTATTCGGATCTGAGATTAAAGTACATGGTATAATTTTTCTAAATTTTAAAAATTTATAATTAAGGCATAATATAGTACGGATTAATCGAAAAAAATCTATACCGCAAAATAATAATAGATTTACAAAGTTCTGTATATATATTTCTTACATTTCCTAGGTTTTGGACAATTGCAAACAAAAAAGGAAAATTTTAAATGATGACATATTTGCATTTTAGAATATATTAACTAAAATTTTAATTTTTCTGTTTACCAATTTGGTCAATTTGGAAATGATAATGATTTATATGCCAAAATATAAAGGTGTGTTTATTTTATATTCTGTATATAATCAAAGATATATGATATTATTGAATTTATGGACGAACTAAGGATGACAGAAGGAAATAGTTGAATAGAAGTCTTCTTCAAACAACGACATTACCAAATCAGGTTAAGCTTTTGTTAGCAATAGGTTCTAAAAAAAATTTTTTTCGGATTTAAATTAGATTATATTTAATTTGTTTACTGTATTATTTTAATAAATCAAATTTATTTTGTGGGAATAAATTCAAATCAAAAATTAAATCATATAGGCGCATTGTTAAATGAGACTGATAGTGTATTTATTTATATTGTGAAATATTGACGAAGAATTATCTATTGCGTTGAAATGAATTTTTATTTTTACTAAATAGTTTCAATTTGTCTGAGAATTTCAAGCACATAAATATTTTACATTTAATTTACTCGTTTGTCATGTGAACTTATTTCCAAATACAGCATACATGATAGTAAAGCTAACAACGAGACCACGCGAAAGTTGCTTATAACCAATCAATTGAGCTTTATAATATGTAACTCTGCTGAATACCGTACCGTACAAACCGCGATTTGCAAAAACTTTTTACATCAAAATCAATTTGATTTTGCGTTCCTTTATAATTAATTTATGTTTTCATTAGAGAGCATCTATTATGAAGTGACACAACTTCCAATGTGAAAACCATCCCACTACTTATAGGTGTTAGTCACAATCGTACTGCGCCTCAGATGATTTCACACTGCGCAGAAAATCGACTTTATAATACATCTTCATTATATATATTATATAGTCTTCTTTTATTACTTACATTATATTATCTAGTTTTCATTATTTGTATCTCTTATAATTATCAAAAAGCGTATTATAATACTAGTTAACAATTTTATATAAATAGACCTGTAAATGGACCTTGAGTCGACAGAGTTTGATCAGAGAGTTCGATCAGGTAGTTTTCTGAATAAGTCTTGGGACTAGACTTATAACTCTACAGATTAATTAAGTTACTATTTTATACTTTCAACCTTCTTCTTGTCTTCATCATAGGATTGATCGTGATAACTAAGTACACAAGTGAATCGTGATAATAAATTGTTTTGTTTGATAATTGTTGATTTCTCTTAGGAAAGGACTTTGAGAAAATTGAGTTATTAAGATATTTAGTTTTGTTAGCTTGGTTTGAGACGATTCCAGGTCTAACACCGTCTTCCCCTTGACTTGATCCTCCTTTGAAATCCACTTAATCTTTCGTAATACCGTAATCAAATTGAGATATTCAAAAATAATATCTTACATCTTCTTCGTTTGAGTTTTCATCTACCCCATCAAATTGATGAAATTTCTTATATATGTTTAACGGCTTCATCAAATTGCTGAGATTGAACATCTTCAAAAAATAATGTCCAATTTCTGACTGAATCTGAAGTCGCGTAGTGGTACTCTTTCCAAATCAAAGTAATATATGGTTGTGGCATTGGACATCAATTAGTCATATAAAAGCTTATGTCTAACGTTGACTCCATGTCTCAATTCAAGTTTTGTCTGCACTTCTGTCATCTAGGTTATTGTGCGATTTACAGATTAATGTACAAAATTTGTTGAATTCACATTATAAATGTTTGTTGGTGGTATTTATTATTAACAAGGAAATTAGATCTTTTAGTTAGAATCAGGTAAATTCTCTTTCTCGCGTTCCTTTATCAACATGGCTTTATGTGCACAAGCTCTTTATTAGTGATAGAAAGATACATACATGTTTGTTTTCTCCTATGTAACCAAAACCATGACTAACTACAAAGCTTAAGCCGGCTGAACCGAAGACTTTAAGAGTAAATTTTCTAAGTCATAACGAGCTAGATTAGTTGTCTACATTCTGCAATGTAAATTATAAGCGCACTTCCTTTTAAAGTATTAAAGTCACTTTGGTCCAACTTCTTTTTCGCTCCCATTAATAAATCATCTATACAGTATTTTCTAGTATTCCAAAAACGACGACGAGCAACGTTAAAATCGGCGGTAACGGATATGATACTATAGTTTTTCCCGCTTTATCAAGTATGAGTCAAGTTGAAAGGAAGAAAAAGGTTTTTCTGATAGATTAGGATTTACTGTAGGATATTCTCATGATATTTCGAATACAAAAATTACTTTTTATGCTCAAAATAGAGATCATTACATCATACATAGATGATGTGCTAAATGTCCAATCTATTTTTGTTTATTATATTCGCAAAAAA